ACCCCCTGTATACGTAAATTCATAAATTAATTGTGAAATCGTACTTGTTTATTATATCGATATATTCTACCCCTAAGCTGACTCCTAACCTTAAAAAAAGCACACTAAAATTTTTTGGAGGTGGCTTACTATTAGCGATGTAAACCAAACCCGAATGGGACAATTACCGTTCTACCTAATTTGGGTTTGGGGTCGACTATTGTTGTGGCCCTCAAGGACCAATCATCTCTACGAAATAAACATGATGCAGGACAAAACAAATGTGGCGCATGTGATAGTGCAGGGGAATTATTTTCACAATTGTGGAAATAATTCTCCTGCATCGCTACAATAACAATTTATTTGCCTTATGATTCGTGCTCTAGCCAGCGATACATAAATTTTGGTTACAACACAGTTACGATTTTTGAATCTAGTAAAAACCTTTGGGAATCTACTAAATCGGGGTTGGTATGAAATTTAATTTTAATTTAATCCGTCACATTTATTAAGAGAAATAACTTAGACACCGTGTATGAAAAAGTGATTTATACAAAATGAGAAATTAATAAGAGAGAGATAGATTATTTCAAATACTACAATAAATAACCATTGTCAAGGTCAACTTGATAACCCACATACTTAAATGAATGGCCCATCAACTAAATCAGATATTTTCGTGCCGAAATTTATCCGAATATTGCCCTTTCTGCTGCAAAGGTCACATATACAATATAACAGAGTAAAGGTTGGAATAATTCGAGTTTATCTCATTAATTTAAAATTTTATCAAAATTTGATTGGGTAAATTTATGATAAATTCAAAATATCACAAAATTTATGTGATAAACTCGAATTATTGAAACCAGTTCCAACCTCTATGACAGAGGGCTTTATTCGATTAATTATCTTTATAAGAGATACAGATAAGAAAATCAATAAAGATAAATAATTTAAATACTGCAGTTAATAATAAATAAATGAATCACCAGTTAAATCAACTTAAATTAGCAAGAAATTACGGTAATAAAATAATTAATAAACTAATTCAAATACAGTGTTTATTAATAAATAATCACTATACTGTAGTCACCAATTAAATCTGGTTGAGCAAGTGACTAACTTACTGACTAATTATTATTTTAACACATTTAAGAGGAAATTAAATAAATGAGAGAAAGCAACTTATTTGATTGTTTCATTAATAATGATTGATATGCTCACACTATGGGATCAAACAAATTTTGATAAGTGGATAAGTTGACGGAGTCATTCTTTCAATAAAAAAAAGGTGAAGCAAGCCATCTTTTTTTTTATAAAGTTGCTTTAATTAGTTAAAGTTTCTAATATTTCATACCATGAATTAGTGTTAAAAGCCGATTAAGTTAGCCGCTTAGCCAGCCACTTAGCAGCTTAGCTAGCCGATAGTCTAATCAGCCGGCCAATAACGGCTAATGATATTAATTAAAGTTGTATATAAATAAAATTAATATAGTATAAAAAAAAAACTATTACAAAACAAATCTCTGTTATCGTTATACGTCGAATTAAAAATATAATGCCACTAATAAACTACCAAAGATAGGGTTTTACCCTAACCCTAATTATAGTTTTTAAAATTTGATGTGACACGAAATTCAATTTAATGTATAACATAAATAAGCTTTGCTCTATTCGATTGAATACTTATTTGTTTCCAAGAAATTAATTTGTAATCTAAAATTCTATAGTATAAAACAGTTGGGATATTTAAAGTAAACCCGAATCTAAGGCTACTTATTTTGAATGAAGTATTATATGGACATCCTATGATTCGGTATAACATAAATTATTGGCTATATTGCTAAGCCATTAAAATATAATGGCTTAGCCTAGCTGTAAAAATTTAATCGGCTTAGATCATTACCATGAATTTTTTAAATCGTTTCTTTCACAAAATCTCGATACATGGCAAATCTAATTGAGAAAAAAAGTTGCTTGAAAACCCTATGTCAGCACAAATGAGAAAAGGAATAGTTTATCTTAAACGTAATAAAACTGAGATGTGAATAAATTATCGTAAATTAATTACTCGTTATAGTGATATTCGTCTATTAGTCGAATAAATAAAGAATAGCAATTTATCCCTTGAGAAAACAAAGAAAACAAGATACTGAATCACCATTCCCGACAATTAAGAATGGTATGGAGGCACAAATAACTTGTGATGATTAAAAAATGTAATAAAAATGTATATTAATCTTAAGACATAACCATTACTTATACAATGATGATATTTACTGTAAACAGATTTTTTAGCCAATCAATTTTCTTAATAATAATTCCAGCGATTTTTTTATTGATCTAAAAAAGTGCACAAAGTATTATACCGTAATTTTAGCTATTTTCATAACATTTAGATGAAAATCAATAGTAAGTAGGGTAATATTGTTGAGATAGTATCACCCTTGAACAATGACTATTTATTTTTATAACGTTTTTATAAGTCAGTGCAAAAAAAAGGCGAGTATTCGACACGTTAATCCAATGACTAAGGCGCTTGAGAACGTCGACATTGAATTTATGGCAAATGAATTTTTCAAATGAATGAAAGTTTCTGACCGTTTAAGATTGCGCCTGAAATTTTGCAATAGATTTTGTGTACTAGCCCTTATTCATATTAATTTAATTTGACTAATGTCGATTATCATTTATCAACTAAGTATGTTAATTGAAGTTACAATATGAGCTGTTGGTTTCTCTAATTTGATTTCATTTAATTAGTCTGTATAAATGCCATACAATCGTATACAAATTGAGGTGGTTAAGAAGTTATTTCGACTTATTTAATCATTTACGATAGGTCATTACACATCTCATATTAATATTTTTTTTTTTATTAAGTTTATTAATTTAACTTCGGAATGTTTGGAGATTATTCATTGTGTTTGATCCAATTTAAGGCATATCTCCGGGGTACTTGTTCTTCAAGTGTCCCCGATTTTTTTCACTAGAGCCTGTATATGAAATGCATGAATAGTTAATAATATTTTTCTAATAAATTATTTGCTATTATAATAGGTCCGTTCTAAACCATTTAATTTGCTAAAAAATAGTGCTAGGCTAAATCAATAACATCGATATAATCTTGCAATTATTCAACCATATCAAGATCTTAATAAGAATATTTTTTCATGAGTAAAAAGAATATCTGAGCATTTAAAATTAATCAAATTTATAAATGTTTCCTATTTAATTGTTGAGATACGTTCATTAAGCCAAATATTTAAATTATTAGAATTTTATTTTATTCGAAATAGTTACAATAGTATGCAAGTATAAAGAGCACTTATTAATCTAAATATTTGGAATAAGCTTTTTAATACATAAGCATAAAAAACATATATTAATCTTAAGAATTCAAACTAAAATATTCAAGTCGTATAACCGTGAAATAACGCACAGTGTGTAATTTCAAATTTCGGCCTAGATTAAGCTTAATTCGGCCAAAATTCAAAATAACCCTTTGAGTTATTTCGCGGTTATACGGTAATTTTATTTTATTCACGTTAATTTATCATGTGAATATAAAGATTATTTTATTAACTAAGTATTATCAATATTAAAGAATTTAAGGCCACGCAAAGTTAATATTTCGTTTTGCATAACCCGCCAACCCAATTTTTCAAAAAAACTTTTTTTTTTTTTTTTAAGTTTCAATTGCCCCAATTATTCCATTTTTGCTATTTTATATGTTGACGAAGTCAACAGTTCGAAAAACCAGACTAAGCACCGATCCGACCCCGACTGCACAGGGCACTAACCACCCGACACATGTGACACAAAATTAGCCAATCAGCATGATTAGCAAGCCACCGCCGCACATGAACAATACAAGCCGCTCTGAGAACCAATCAACGCTAGGCCGATGACCCATCGACCACCACCATGCAGGTCCCGGCCTATACCAACCAAACTATTTATAAATACACCTCTCTTAACTCTTACCGACTCTATCCTAAAGCTTCAAACCAGTTTTTTGGCAAAAACATCATGAACGATCAAACACAATACTTAGGCGATAAGCCAGACAACAACACAAACATATACAATAATTTTTCTGATATCGACGCTAAGACAAAAGCATACATCGATGCTATGTGTTAAGCATTATCTAACGAGATCATCACCACAATCAAGTCTTATATCGATCAATCAATGAAAGCACAATTAGATTTAGTCAACAAACTGAACGAACATATAGACACCTGCATCAACCAACAACAAAAGCCCAACATTCAACCCAACAACACTTACCAGAACCAGGAACAAACCAACCTACATCACAACCACGAATTTTCCTCATGCATCGTTCACCAACAAAATAACCACCACCAACAAAGCAACCACAGTGACAACAGCACCACCCAACAAGGTAATTGTCCCCTTACTCCTCTCCTAAACAACTTAATATTGAACTCCAGCAACACCAGCCCGCAAAATGAGAACAGCCCTGCTCCCCCAGTTCAGATCAAAACTACAAACACAATAAAGACCAAAATTACAACAAGAGCATACCCATCCCTTGACTATTTGGATCTAAACAACCTTCAATCTATCTATGGCTTCAACAACTTCACCGTGGCACAAATAGAACAAATTCGCATTTGGTGGGTCCTCAACTGGTCTGAAGGGCAGAGAATAATCGAAACTTTATCAAACAAACCAAGCCTGCTCATGCGTTTATGGAAAACAATTGCTTTTAGCAGTTACATTGATCTCCACAAATTTGCATACAAAAACTTGAAAGCTTACCTAAATAACAACGACGAAGATCAAACCATTTTGACCAGTGAAGGCAACATTATCACTCTTCAAAATGAAGTCGCCAACAAAAATTCAACGATATCGCCGAATGGCTCCTAGCATTCAAGTCTTACATGGAAGCAGTGTTAGTAGTATATGAAATCAGAGAACATGAATTAAATGCATACCATGACTACATTAGCACTCTGTGCATCAAACAAGAATTCTTTGCTGTGTTAAACTACGACGAAGATCGCAGAATTCACCTCACAGTAAACCGAGACACCACCCTTTTTGACTGAAACATTGAAGCTGAGGGCGAGAATTTCAATATAACTACCACCAAGAAACTCCGCACCAACAATGCAACCAGAAACTTCAAGCCAGACATTACCTGGCATGACGGACAACAAATATGTATAAACTGGAACAAGAAGGGCTGCCCCAAAGAAGTCAACTGTCAACGTGTCCACGCTTGCTTAAAGTGCAAGAAAACCGGTCACCCAGAACGAAGATGTTTTCTCAACAGGTCCTTATCTTCAAAGCAATCGGACAACCAAATCCAGAACCTTGGCTCAAACAAATAACACATATATATATAAAAAAAAAAAAAAAAAAAAAAAGAGAGACAAAATCTTATTAAACATATATCAAAAAAAACGGGGGATGTATATAGCAAACTCACACACATCATTACCTTAAAAAATATATATATATATATATATATATAGTAACGCAAATTCAACAGACGCACGTGAAGGAAAAGAAAACTTAACATCCTTAATTAACACTTACAAAAATAGAAATAACCGAATCTTATGTATAGCAAACATTAAATATATCCACTTTCGATCATCAATACACTCGCGCTATAATTACAAAAAAAAAAAAAAAAAAACCCATAGATAAATAACAATTATACCCACATCAAAAAAAAAAAAAAAAACACAGTAAAATAATACGATATATTTACACTTATGTAGATAATCGCACACACTTGAAAGACACGTTCACAAGGCAAAAGAATGAGGCATGACAATAGTTTTCAGTCGGGCTCGGGATAAATAAAAAAAAAAAAAAATCAAAATCAAAATCATCAAATGCAAAACACACTAACATATATTCAAAAAAAAAAAATCAATACAAATACACTTCAGATAACCTAGCACATGCCGCACAATTCAAACTTTTTCGAAATATAACAATCGACGAAGCACCAACACTCCAGTCAGTCAATGAGACCATCTTAGCAGTACTACCACCAAATGTCTCCTTAACCAATACAGAGCTGCACCTTTTATCCCAATTGGATCCACGACAATTCAACATACAGACCCCAATAGACATCGCAGCCTTCCAGTACTTGACAGCTGCCCATCTCAATCGTCTCTTCATAGATTACTTAACCAATGGGATTAGACATGGCTTCAGATTCAACTTCAGAGGCATCCGCACCAAAATCATTCAAGACAACCTACGATCCATTAATACAGCCCCGGACGCATTCTATTCTTACATAAAAAACGAGTTAGGAAATAACCGCATATGCAGCCCATTTAGCGAAGATAACCCACCATGCGACCTCTTTTAAACCAACCCATGTGGATTGGTGGAGAAAAAAGACTCAAACCCAACAGCTTACCACATCATATCCCACCTATCATCCCCTACAAACAACAGTATAAATGACCGGATCGACAAACTAGAATTCGCAACAAGATACGAAACAGTAACACATGCAACCAAATGAATAAACCACTTCGGCAAAGGATGCACTCTCTTCAAAGTCGATATAAAAGACGCATATCATATATTTCCTGTCCATCCCATAGACCAAATATTACAAGGATTTCGCAACGGAAACAACCTATACTTCGACAAAGTCCTCGCATTCGGAAATCGTGCATCTGGCGGCATTTTTTGCCATTTCGCCGACACTATAGCATGGATCGCTTTACAACAAGGCTTCCTAGCCATAATCCATTATATCGATAATTTCCTTATCATATTACCTACAAACGGACCACGCGAATTACGACAATTCATACGCATCCTGGACACCTTAAACATATCTTACAAAGATACAAAACTAGAAGGGCCAAGCACCTCCATAACTTTCCTAGGCATAAAGCTCGACACGAACACCATGACCGCATCAATACCACTACAAAAATGTGACAAACTGATACTTCTATTGAAACAATGGATCAACAAGAAAAACTGCTTACAAAAAGAACTCCAGTCATTAGTAGGTTCCTTAGTGTGGGCTTGTCAAATCATGCCCCAAGGCCGCCCTTTTATACAATGACTTTTTAAAGCTCAAAACTTGACCAACAACACTCAACACCACATCCATATAACCAAACCTATGACTTCCGATATTCACTGGTAGATATCTTCTTTACAAACCTGGCCAGGCATCAAACTGTTAGAAGACTGAGAATGGTATAATTCACTTACCCTAAACTTACACACTGACGCATCAAACATAGGCGGCTGTGCGACATACTACAACTACTTCACTGCCTTCAACTGGGCCAAGTCAATTAACCTCGCAATAATTAACATACAAATGCGCAAATTGTTAACAACACTTATCGCAGTAAAAACCTTTGCTCCCATGTGGGAAAGGAAAAAACTAATTATTTGGACCGACAATTCCACCAATGCAGAGGCATACTATGCCGGTTATTGCAAAAACCCAAATATTAATAATATAATCACTTATATTTACAAGGAACAAATTTTCGAGAATTTTTCCATAAAAATCCAACACATACCTGGATCAAAGAATACAGATGCAGACCTGCTTTCTCGTAATGGGCACTGCAAATACATTAACAATAACCCCTTAACAAGGTTCCTCCAACCCAATATCCCCTGAATTCAATGACCTAATCTCTCTAATTCCATCCCTGAAATAATAGTCGTGTCAAACACAATCCCCACACCACAGCCCTAGCCCAACCATACAACCGACACACATACCTTTGGCAGCCAAGAAACTTTGGACAGAAAAGCCGCATCTATTCTCGACATCTTAGCAAATCCTATGAAGCTACTATCAAATGCTACGAAACCTTAGCAACATCCAACAAATGGTTCAACCAGAACGGATCCATATAGCCGATATCAAAAGACTTACTAATAAAATATATAATATTATTACATAAAACAGTATCCCCACCTACTATTACATCGTACCTTTCCGTACTAAAATACTACTACACAAGAAATCTCTACAACTAGACCCACGTCCGAACCGACCCTTTAATAGTCCAATTATTGAAAACCATCGACGCAACACACATCCATACCCCAGTAAAGCAGAAGTCCCACATAACCCGATTTCATTTATCCTGCATCAAGAATAAGCTGAACATAACTGACCCTACAGACCTCCTCTTCTGGACTATCGCGTTCACGGCATTCTACGGATTAGCACGTCTCAGTGAAATACTCCCAAGCAATCAATTCAACAGCGCCAAAGTCTCAATCCTACAAGCGTTACGTTTCAAAAAAACTGAAAACAACACTTTTGCAACCATACAACTCGCAAGGACAAAGAATCACAAAACAGCAAACCGAGTTTCGCTAATCATCAACCCAACCAACGACAACCTATGCCCCATATGCACCCTGAAATCCTATATCCAACTACGAACACTTCCAACATACACAAAAAACAATCTGATGCTCTTTGCAAACCCAGACGGCTCATAGGCCACAATATTATGGTTCATAAGCAAACTTAAAAAACTCCTTCCCAACGAAGACGTCGCCGGACATAGCTTCCGGGCCGGTGGCACTACCGAATTAGAATCCTGGGGTGTACAACTAGTGATAATCCAAAAAATCAGCAGGTGGGATTCAGATGCGTTCTACAGGTACATTAGAAGCCACCCCACAATAATTGCTTCAATCTTAATCAAAGCTTACACCAATTAGCCCTACTTCAACAACTTGGAACAAATACCAGTCTAATTGGTATCAGCACAAGGACCGTAAAAAAAAAAAAAATAAAAATAACACAAAAACAAAAACAAAAAAAAAAAAAAAAAAAAACAAAACCAAAAACACACAACCAATATATACATTTACGTACCCTTATACTCATACTCATAGGCATATAAATATGACTGAAGAAAAACGAACACGCATACACTAGTCAAATATTTAATTCAAAAAAAAAAAAAGAAAGAAGAGAGGGGGACGGAAGAAAACAAATATATATACATTAAAAAAAAAAAAAAAAAAAGTACCAACAATATAAACAAACACATACGTAAGAACAATAAGAAAATATATCACATGCGAAAAAAAAAAAATCTGACAATTGAATGACAGAATCAACCAACCTTCTTGGAACAATCACATGATTCTGCCATTCCAACAGCCGGTCTGCTTCGGCAGGCAGGAAACCACCGGCTAAATAATTAGGCTAGGATCGCCTATTTAATTTCTGTCTGGTCTGTTATGATGACTCCCAGCGCAATTATTATTGCTATCTTTTCGGGATATTCATCATTTCAGTTCCTATTACTCTTATTCACTTCACATCTATCTCTAATAAAGTTATCCCTGGCTCTTATCTCAGCCAGCATTACTCCAAACAATATAAGGCGTGTGTCTATGTTTTTCGTATATGTTGACAAAGTCAACAGTTTGAAAAACCAGACTAAGCACCGATCTGACCCCGACTGCACGGGGCACTAACCACCTGACACATGTGACACAAAATCAGCATGATCAGTAAGCCACCGCCGCACATGAACAATACAAGCTGCTCTGAGAACCAATCAACGCTAGGCCAATAACCCATCGACCACCACTATGCAGGTCCCGGCCTATACTGACCAAACTATTTATAAATACGCCTTTCTTAACTCTTATTGACTCTATTCTAAAGCTTCAAAACAGTTTTTCGGCCCCACCCAGTCTCTCCACACACAGTAATCACATGATTCTGCCATTCCAATAGCCAGCCTGCTTCAGCAGGCAGAAAACCACCGGCTAAATAATTAGGCTAGGATCACCTATTTAATTTCTGTCTGGTCTGTTACGATGACTCCCAGTGCAATTATTATTGCTATCTTTTCAGGATATTCATCATTTCAGTTTCTATTACTCTTATTCACTTCACATCTATCACTAATAAAGTTATATCTAGCTCTTATCTCAGCCAGCATTACTCCAAACAATATAAGGCATATGTTTATGTTTTTCGAATTTTTTTTCGTAAATTTATCCGGTATCACCCGATATTGAGCTTAATTTTCCAGAATAACCCAGCAGGACTGTTTAAAAAAAACAAAATTTCTGAATTTTCTGATTTCATGTTATGCAAAGCGAAAAATTAACTTGTGTGGTCTTAAATATGAGCATGAAACAACTAATTTATAGTAAAAAAATTTTTTTGAAAAAAAAAAAAATCCAACCCGCTGACTGGAATTTCGGAAAACCATGTTATGCAAAACGTAAAATTAACTTTGTGTGGCCTAAATTACAGAAAAAAGTTTGCACTGATGATTCTCGGATATCTACTGACTTATACATATGTACTTACATACGAATAATATGGATAATTTTTTTTCTCACCACTGGATTTCCATATCAAACTTGAGTTAACTGAACTATTTATATTTTAGTATTCATATTTTATTCTCTTATTTGTAATCACAATTTTTGATTTTTTAAGCTCTTATTCTTTTTGAAAAAATTTACAATAAATCTTTTTTAGCTATCTCTAATGTATTTTAACTAGAGATGGGCAAATCGCAAAACCCCGTGCAAGATAGGATCACAAATCTGTGAGTTTCTTAATTTCTGAGAGAAGTCATGAGGCATCCATTTGTCACGAGATCACAACCCATACCCATGACCTCGTATGTGCGCCTGGGAAGGTTAAGTGATTTATAGTATGAGGTATAGTATGATGAGTATCAATTATTTATCGCTATTTGCAAAATGATTTATTTTTGATAAAACCTGTAGGTCACTGCATGCCCGATTGCAATCGATTGTACGTGATTGTTGCGATTTCTCAGCAATCATCTAATCAAATTTGATGATTTTTTTTTATTTGCATTTTATGAATCTAAATGGTTTAAATAAAAAAAAATTCATTGAATTTAATCAGGTGGTTGATGAGATATCTTTGCTCGAAGTTTTTTTTTAAAAAATCAACGCTGCATTGTTTATCATAAATAGAAGCTGCGCCAAAATTTTCTTAAAACTTTGAGCAAAGATATTTCAGCAACTGCTTAATAAATTTGATGAAAATTTTTTTATTTGAATTCTATGGATCCATAGAATTCAAACGAAAAAATTTTTATCGAATTTGATCA